GGCTACAAAAAGGTAAAAATAATTAAACGGTTGAAGAAAATTGTAAAGTGAACCGTAAGCTGTAATAATCCATGAAGAAATCGAGCCTTTGAGATAGTTGAAAATACTGCATAAAGCCAATGAATAAAATTGAAAGTAGTGAATATAATCACGATTAAAATCCACCACCAAAGTGCAAAAAAGATTTTTTCATTGAAGTTATTTGCCATCAAAACACATTGAATTGTATGCTGATGTTCGTTGCCCATTCCACGAACCTAAAAAGGAGCAGTTTAGCATAATCAGAAAATTGCTAACAGTTCACAAGGTATAAAGTTTTCTAGATTAAAGTAACATTAAACGTCTATGTTCTCCAAAAACAGTTTATTATACAATTAAAAAGAAACAGTTTGGTAGACCTTGAAATCACAAAGGGTTACACGAGGAAAGAATCCACTGTTACGCCAAGGATGATCGTCGAATAAGAATGGTAACTGTTGAATTCCGTTGGTACCCAAGTATAGAGATAAAAACCAAAACTAAATGTTAGTCCAAATAAATTGCTTTTTATTTTGAAGTACTGTAAGTTTGTTCAATTAAATTTTACTTGAAAAAGTCCATTGCTGATAAAAAGAAATTTGGTGAACAGATAAATAGTCGTCAGGTAGGATGGAGCGAGTAGTCTAAAAAACATCTTGTTGTTTAACAGTTTATTTTGATCATTTTAGATAAAGTCTTTTCTTTTTTTCAAAATTTGCTTAAAATTAAACTGCTATAACTACTGTAAAATAAAAGATACCATATAATTTTTAAGCAGGTTTTTAGTTTTACTTTTTTGATTAAAGATAGTTTTCTTTGGTCTATAACTGCTCTTGCAATAAAGTACACTTGACAAAGACTGTTGTTGAATATGTACTATTTGGTCATCTGTATAAATTACTAAAAGATTTGAAATCAATTGTCAAAAAAAAAAAAAAAGAGTAAGGAGTTAGTTATAAGCATTTTTTTTATTTTTAATGTCTACAAATTGTATTTGTAAAGTATAGTATGGCAACAGTAATTTCATCAGGTGTTTGAAGAAATAAAAAAAAAAAAAGCAAGAAGAAAAACAAAAGTACCGAAGCAATCAAAAAACTTTTATAACTTTATCTTTTGAGCAAAAAAATGTTTTTGTTTTTCCTAAAATTTATATGAATGTCGTTTAGTCAGTTTTTTTTTTT